CACTCGCTCACTCACTCACTCCTTCAGAGTGCAGTGGAACTGACAAAGGCTTCGTGAGTGCCAATAACATCCGTTCATTTCAGAACTGCACCACCATTGAGGGCAGCATCCGGATAAACGAGGTCTCCATGAAAGGGTAAGTTGGTGTCACAATAAGTCAGTATGACGTCATCATTCGTATTATTACGTCACATCAACGATACAACGATAATAACAAAAATGCCATCATAATAATAACAATAAAAGCATCAATTCTATTTCCGCTGACATCATTTCCTGTAAAAAAAAATTGTTTTCATCTATCTCTTTAATGGCGCTCTTTGAAGATGATGACGACGACGACGACGATGATGTTGGTGATGATGATGACGACGCTGATGAAGATGTTGAGGATGATGGGATGTTGGTTATTGTGATAGTAATGATGATGATGATGATGATGTTAACAATCAGAAGAGTAACATTAACTGAAATTTATGGCTAATCATGTCTCGCTTTGATCATGTTTGGCGAGAAAATTATTAAGCAATTTATTTTTACCAGACGAACCAGTTTGCTAATTAATGCTTATAAAAATTATTTTGAAAAAACGGCCTCAACAAAATGAACCAATCAACAAACCAACCAATCAACTAATAAATCACTCAACCTCTATTAGACCAACCATCCAACCAACCGCTCATCCAACCAACAAGTCAATCAATCAACCCACCCCCAATCAACCAACCAACCAATCAGAGATCGAGGTCGAAACGTGTCCAGTCTAACGTTTGAAAGTTTACTAACCTTCTCAACCGTAACGGAAATAACTGGATATTTAGTTCTGCAGTCGCTAGGTGTCGGAGTGAGGAACTTGTCCTTCTTCAAAAACCTTCGAGTCATACACGGAAGATCCCTCTACGAGTAAGGGTTATCGTCATAGCGTAATGGTTAAGGCACCTGCTCATGATGTAGCAGTGACTGGTTTTGACGCAAACAGTTCCCCATCTATCACACACAATGTGTGTGACGCGTAGTTTTCACGCTTGTGAATGAATACGCCGTATGTGTGTTTGTCGTTGTTACATCTGAAGCCAGAATGACCTTTAACCTTTATCAACATTATTAATTGCAGGCATCCATCGACTTTGTCGTCGTCGCTATCATTTTAATTTATGCAAATTTATTCAATTCTTTAGCCACAGCTACTCCCTGTTTGTCGATCAAACTAACCTGGAGTACTTGGGACTGCGTAAATTGAAAAACATCAAATTCGGATCGGTCCTTATCAAGAACAACATCCATCTCTGCTACCTCCAGAACTTCCCCTGGTCAACTTTGTTCAGTAATAATGGCCAGGCGATGTTTTTTCGATCGAACAAGAATCCGGAGATTTGTGGTCAGTGGCT